AATGATGGCCTTAGACTTACTTTTTATACAGACAATGCAGTAGTTTATTTAGTGCAAATGTTTCTGTGACAACTTATTGGTGGAAGCCCATTCAAGTCATTATCGTCCTATCCAAGAAAACTTTTGTAGGTACCTGTTTTCGGGTTGCCCTTGGTTTCCTTCTTTACAAGGGAAGTTTTTTTGCTTGATGTTACAGCGCTTTCCGGTTGAATCAAAAGGAAGACGCAAAAAATTGCATAAAGTTGGATATGCGACAACCATATGCTTTAGTTATTTCTTGATTATATGCATCATGATGTGATTCAATACATTTGACAAAGCAGCAACCTCCATCGACTTTCTTTCTGCAGCAAGCCCCCTCAAAAACTTTTCATGCATCAAGCCCTTCTCCAGAATTTTTCCTGTAACAGACCCTCCTCTGAAGTTTTTTCTTATATCAGGCCCTCCAAAACTTTTGCTGCAGCAAGCCCTTCACCTGAATTTTTCCTCTAGCACATCCTCTTCTGGAGTTTTTTCCTACAATAAGGCCCACCTCTTGAGTTGTTTTTCTGCAGACCATACCCTGGAGTTTTTCTTATTGGTTGTCTACTTCCCTGCAAACTCCCCTGCAACATTACCTGTAGGATTCTTCCGTCTACCTACAGACACCGCAAAAATTACAGTCAAAAGATAATCACAGTTGTCTACTTACCTGAAGACTCCACTGCAACATTGCTTGTAAGAGTTTTCTATCTACCTACAGACACTGCAAGAATTGCAAACGTTGTTGTCTACTTTTCTGCAAACTCCCCTGCAGCATTACCTGTTAGAGTCTTTCACCTATCTACAGACATTGCAGAAACTATAGTCAAAGACAACCGCAATGTGAGATAAAAACTTCAAGTTCTAAGTCTTAGAATCATCCTTGCCCATTGTTTGGAATTTTCAAGTCCAAGCTAAGCTCTCCCCCCTTTTCTTTTCTTCCTAACCTTTCCTTTCTCTTCCCTTACCTTTCCTTCTTAAGCACTTTTTTATTTTAAATCCTTCCCTAAAACCTTAAATTCTAATTTTATTCTCCTTTATTATGTTAAAAACCTAACCTAAAATCTGAAATCTCTTCTCCTTATTTATTTTAAAAGTCTTTCCAAAAATCTAGATTCCTTTTTATTCTTATTTCTTATTTCAAAAACCTTTACAAAAATCCGAAATCCTCTTTATAAATTGGAGGTGATATGTTTAGGGTTAGGGGTCTTGTATTTGAAATATGAAATCAGATTTTAGTTTTTTTATTTTCACCTTCGAGATTTGTATCCGACATCGAGGTAATGTTTCGGTTGTCCCTCGCCCAAGGTGGTGATCAACTCCACGGGTCCGGGTGGTGCTTCGGTTGTAGCTCGACCCCAACGAGATATTTATTTATCCATCCACCTTTCCTGTTGTTGTCCACCCGCTTCCCAGCCCTACAGCAAGTTACCGTACCACTTCCACAACAGTAGTCCACTGCCTCCTCCCTCCAACCTGCTGCCAACCTTCTCCCAGCAAAGCCTTAGCTCCCCATACTCCATCCCAACATTCAGTCGCCCTTCTTGAACAACTGAATCTTCTTGTCTACCTGCTTAGAATTCCTCTCAGCACTCAGCCCACCTTCTTCTAGCAGTCTACCTTGCTGTCCAGGCCTTTCCCATCGCTACTAGCACTTCCCCGCTCGTTATGCACCCTTTGAAAGTGCAAATGAGCCTTTCTCGCTGCTACCCCACTTTCCCGCTTGCTACCCTACCTTCCAATCTACCTCTCAGCCACCCAACAAACCTTCCATCCACCTTAACTTGTTGCCTCCCTCCAGTTCACCATCCAACCCCTGCTGGCCCATCTCCCGCATTCACAATTGTTGTCCCCGAGACTCTGAATCTACTGGGCCAACCTCTACCGCCCTTGGGATACACTTTCGAGGTGTTGGCTTGTGTTTTTGTGGACATTTGTCGTTTGTTTCATGGTTTGAAGAGTCATTGTAACTGATTTCAAATTTAATAATAATATTTGTGTTTCTATTGTGGTTAGGGATTTCTCTTCCGGTATCATTTAGTATCAGAGCTAACTCAATCCTAGTCTCATCCTATGGCCAGCATTCGCCCCTACCCAATCTCCATCACACCAAATTTTCATTTTCTTTCTTTCACATTTTTTTCTCTTCTTTCTTTGTTCCTTCTCTCTCCTTCCCAGATCCTAAAATCGTTAACTATACCGCCAAGAAGGAATATGTCCGAGCCTTCCCAGGAATAGATAAGGCAAGAATTTCATCGCCTCCAACAGAGGCTTATTAATATTGAAGAGAAAATCCAGTGAGAAGTTACCCTCGGCCATAATCTGAAAGGTCAAATAGAAAAGCTAGAAAATACGAAGATGAAGCAGAAAACATCGCATCAGCATAACCAATCCGCAAGTTTGTCAAAGTCGGAAAATGTTGTCAGTGTCATGAATTCGGACATGGGGAAGCAGAATGTACAACCAGGGGAGTGATCTATTTCACGGAGCAGGGAGTTGCTGGAGCAGGGCGTTGCTAAAACTTGGTGTAAGAAAATCGGAGACACAGAAGAATAGTTCCAACAAGAATTTTTATCTGACGTCTTCCCCCAGGGAACTCCCTTATTTGTGGATAATCTGATGTCTTTCCTCCATGTAATCAAAAGGAACATGCGACTTTGATAAGATTGTGATTCCTACTCTCTTAGAGGATAAAGAGCTTATTGTTGAGACATAGAAAGGTCGCACAGAACAGAAGATGTTAGAATTTAAAATTTCAATGGATAGTCTTAGTAATAATTAACTAATAGCATCACAGGCAGTTACACTTCCATCCCTCAACCTCAATGTTCCACATAAAGAGAAGAAAGACTAAGGTGAAACTCTTATTATTGAAATAAAACAGAAGATATCAGCTCTCCAAAACTTCAATAATCAGAGGAAAGACTCAAAAGACAATAAGAATGGTCCATCAACCAAATTCTTGCAAACCCTTAAGCCCACTGAGACCCAAATTGTCTATATGAGAAGCATATGAGATATTTACTTGATCAAAATTTGGCTCGAAAGAACCTGTGTCGATGTGTACCTTCGGCTCAGATTATATCAAACGAAAACAGACCTATAAAGAGCTATGTTCGCAGGTGGGAAAAGCTCCTCAGACGTTTTGGGAGTCAAGGCAGTCGTCAATGGGATCCGGGAACGGCCAAAGAGAACCAGAAGCTTCGACAGATAAATTTGAAGCAATTCCAACCTCAGGAGACTGACGCGAGGCTTGGGGGATGACCGACCAATTCTCAAGGGAGGGGGGCGAGGGTGTTACCCCTCCTTCCCCTTTTTCCTTTCCCTCCCATTTTTCCTTCCTTTCATCCTTTCTTCCCTTCCCTTTTCTTCATCCCCTTTCCTTCCTCACCTTTCATTTCTAAGCACTATTTTATTTTGAATCCTTTCCTAAAACCTGAAATTCTAATTTTACTCTCCTTCCTTATTTTAAAACAATTTCCTAAAATCGGAAATCTATTTTTATTATCCTTGTTTATTTTAAAGATATTTTCTAAAATCTGAAATCTCTTCTTATTCTCCTTACTTATTTTAAGAGCCTGTCCAAAAATCTGAAATATTTTTTATTCTACTTTCTTATTTTGAAAGTCTTTCCAAAATATGAAATCCTTCCTAAAATAGACCAAGTCTCTGTATAAATTGGAGGTGATGTGCTTAGAATTAGGGGTCTTATTTTTTTATATCTGAAATCAGGTTTTAGCCTTAGTATTAGGGTTGTATCTGACGTTGACGTAGTGCTCCGGCTGTCCCTCGTCTGAGGTGGTGATCGTCTCCAAGGGTCCAGGTGGTGCTCCGGTTGTAGCTCAATCCCGAAGAGATATTTATCTATCATTCCACCATTCCTGTTGTTGTCCACCTGCTTCCCAGCTCTATAGTAGGCCACCGCACCTCTTTCCCAACAACCGCCGGATGTTTTCCTCCCTCCAACCTGTTGCCAGCCTTCTCCCAACAAGGTCGCAGCTCCAAGTACTCCATCCCAACACCGAACCGCCCTTCCTGAATAACCCAATTTTGTTGTCCACCTGCTCAAATTCCTCCCAGCACTCAGCCAAACCACTTCCAGCAATCTACCTTGCCGTCCGGCCTTTCCTATCGCTCCCAGCGCTTCCTCGCTCGGTGTATACCCTCTGAAAGTGTTGACGGACCTTCCCCGTTGCTGCCCCACCTTCTCAGCATGCTACCCTACCCTCCAACCTACCTCCCAGCCTCCCAACAATCATTCCTGCCACCTTAACTTGCTGCCTCCCTCTTCCAGTTCACGCCGGCCTCTCTCCCACAATCACGCTTGCTTTCCCCAAGCCTCTGGATCCACTGGGCCAACCTCCACCACCCTTGAGATACACTTTCGAGGAGTTGGTTTGTGTCTTTGTGTTTGTTTGTCATTTATTTCATGTTTTGAAGAGTCGTTGTAACCGATTTCAAATTCAAAAATAATATTTGTGTAAATAATATTTGTGTGTTTCTTTTGTGATTTGGGTTTTCTCCTTCGCTATCACAGCCTTTCAATTTGCATATCAAAAGATCAAATACTAAATTTTCTCTCTATTAATTCTATGCATCATATATTCCATAAATCTTCTCAGATGTCTTAATTTTTCAATCGCTCAAAGCATGTCTCACAAACCAACTTTATGTCGCCTACAAATAGCATATAGAAGCCTGCACGCGAGATAGAAAAAGAAAGAATATGCAGGCAACTGATGATAAATGAATAAAAAAAGAAATTCACATAAAAGGAGATAAAATACAGTTAGAAAAACAAAGATTTTGAAAAAAAAATAACCATCGATTGCTTAAATTTGATATTATTTTAAAACAGTGAACTAGTACAGAAGTAAAATGCAGCCCTATATAGTTGAATGCATGTTTGAGTGAAAAGAAGAACAAGGACCGCATGCACAATATCATAACAAGCCAAGAGATGAAAAATAGATGCATACTCATCATATTCTGCAAGATTTAAGGACATATAATTTGATAATCCATATCTTTCCAGCACACTCTCAACAAAAGAATCAGGAGGAGCTAATGCAGCACAACATTGCAACAAAAACAGATCAGATTCCAGACCTTGTTCCAACCTGTCAAGATTACAAAAAAAAACAGGGAATACAGAAATCACGCAAGGACTACTGCATAAATATAACGCACAAAATATTTTAGTTCGACTCAACATTGAACTAAATGATACCACTGAGAACACAAAATGGGAGCATCACTATTCTTTCTCCACATGCCAGCACGAACTTGAGCACAAAATACCATCAATTGAAGAGGATGTTCCATAATAAAGCCTGAAAAACCACAAGGATGTAACCCAGCCAAAGCTTTTCTGAAGAATTCATGATTATGAATAGGAATAGTAGTTGTAGCACCATTTGTCTTGCCCGGTAGTTCAATTAAATCACAAGCTTTCAATGCTTTTCGCAACAATAAAGAAAGTAAACGATGCAAAGGAATGTGAAAAGATATTGCTTGTGAACCAACGTCAAAATTGATAGCAGGCCAATCAGTCATGTTCAATATGCTAAATGTTGCCGACTCCCTTCCATACTCTACCTCCATTAGAGTATCATCTGAAACTCTGGTGCTATAACTATTCCCAGGAAACAATTCATTGGTCTCACTAATATCTCCTTCAGCTTCTGGCATACCAGCACTCCCAAAACTCACATTGCCACCACTAGTAAAAGGAATTTCCTCTCCATCCATATCCATCCTGGTCATAGAAGTTCCATTTATGCTATTTGGTCCTTTCCTGACCTTAAACAATTTCTTTCTTGCAGATGATATATTAGACGCACTGGTGGTGGCTACACCAAAAGATGATGAATAGCATAAGGATTCAATCTCTGGTCTCAACCAACATTCGATGGCTTTCAGGCATTCAGAAATCAGCCATACAACAGAAGAGGGAAAAGACGTACCATTTTCCCCAACAAAACGTGTTTCATTAAAAATTAAATCCTCCAAAGCACCCGTCCTGCTTGCTGAACTTTCTTGAGAAACCCTTCCCACTTTGGCATGACGTTGCCTGTCAATATCAACTAGATCTTGCTTATCTAAGCATCCATTTTTGTCATTGTAAAAAGCCCCTCCTACCAAAAGTGAATTAACATTCGATAGACATTGCCCAAGAGCAAAAGGTGCAAAAAGATTTTCATTTTCCTCCTCTGAGTGAAGAACAGTTACTCTCTTCAGCGCATCCATGCCCTGTACAAGTCTTAATAGAAAAATCCATTTTTTCGAGATATCTGGCCTTTTACAAACAATATAAGCAGGAACTTCTTGGTGACTCATGACATAGCGAAAATCTTCAATCAAACGAATTGTTTCATACATGTTGCCCCATTTACTAAACTGTAAAAAGTTTATACCATGAGACTTGACCATGGAATTCATGTCAACTACAGATTATCGCCAGTAGATTAAGTTTATTTTAATATTTACAACCTACTTATGTATGTATATTAGAACAAAATAACAAGTTCAATAAGAAAGTATCAAAGCAGATGGTTATGTTCAACTATAGATTACTGAAGGTAGAATAAGTTTATTTCAATATTTACAACCTAATTATGTCTGCATATTAGAACAAAATAAGAAGTTAAGAAAATGACAAAAAGAAAAGTCAACTGAAATGGACAAATATAAGCATCAGTTCCCTACCTGTAGATGACCATTTGCATCAGCACAGGAAAGGAAAAGGTCCTTCAAGCATCCGAGAAGAACAGACAGCAGATCTACCTCAGTTACAAGTCGCATAGTTAAAGTTGGTACTGTAAATATTTGCACAGAGAAAGTTGCTAGCATCGGATCTCTCTCCGAGTATGAATCACTAGAATATTTGATCATTTCATTTACAATAGTCGGGTAGTATTGTATGAAAACCTTTGCAAAATCATATTTAAAAAGAGGGTCCCCAAGAAGTTTTAAAAGCAACTCACGTAACCTCTTCACAACTTCCTTATCCAAGTGCTTGTCCGCCTTTAAAAGAACATCGAGTAAACCAGAGCATGACATCAGTCTTCTAGAGATAAAACTGAGCAGACTTTCGCTACAATTGCAGAAGTCTATCAACATTTGAATGATTGCAGAAGATAATCCATCTGCAGCTTTCTTGCATGCATCACCGTGATCAGCCTCTTCATCATGCCTGTGTTCTACAGACAGAAGCTTCTTCTTCCAGCACAAAAGAAGAGGATCAAGGACGGGACCTATAGAATTTGCCAACTCTTGTGGTAGGGGTCGGATCTGTTCGGTACCTTTATGCTCAGAACAAAAGCCCTCTTTTTTCCAAGCAGTCTCATCACCACAATCACAACATCCACCGCCAGTATACATAATGTTATAATCATGATCCTTGTGATTGCCATTCTGAAAACAAGGAACACAGATTGCACAAGTTGGATCATGCTCGCATGTGCGGCAACGGTATGCCAAGTCATTTTGACCCCAAACAGCTCCGCATACTGCACGTTGGCCTTCAGCACTTTGTGCCAAGCTACTCATGTATTCTTGTGGATCACCATCAAACATTAACCATTGCAACCACAAAATGCTTTCCTCAAATAATTCCTTTACTGTAAATTTCACATTTACTCCAGCAAGTTCTCTGTTTTGCAGCATCTGAGCCTCGCTCAAGTCCAAACTAGTTGGCAAGATGGATGATACAATTTCAGATAACATGCATTTGTTATCCCTGACAAAAGCAACCAGACTCAGCTGAAATTGTTGAAGATGCACTTGTGGAATGCCATGAAACGCAAGTCTCTGAATGGAAAAACAAAATGAATAAGAGTTGAGATTCAAACAGGATTGCCAGAGATAAACTGCATTTCAAACAGTCTAAAAACAAAACAGCAGCAGCAATATTCTGAAAACAAGAATGGTGACAAAATAAAGGAATTCAAAATGAAAAATCTAAAAGGAACAGCCCTAACAGCCAAATGCTCAGCATAAGATTGTGTTCCAGTAAAGCAAAGATAAACAATTAGAACCAAGAAAAAATGCCATAGAACTATATTTCAGCTTATGATCGCAAGAATAAAAAAATAAATTTATCACATAGGAAGTGATACATGTATTGAATCGTACAAAGAGCAAGGATTCAGTGCAATGCATCCGAGAATGCTGTTATGATGAAGTTGAAAATGCATCTGGGTACTTATTCCTTGGAAACTATATCTCCAACCTTCACCACTCCTTTTTAAGCTATTAATACAAATTGTTCTTTAAGCAGTAAGTTTTTGCACTTCACAAAGCAATTAAAATTAGAAACTTGGTATGAAATGATCGACATGCTTTTCATTTCAAGGTCGACTAGACAACACCTTATATCATCTGAGCAAATCAAATGAAAACAAAATGCATTTTTTGTTTATGTAAGGAGAAGGACAAAGTATTAGAGAATTGGAGCAATTCCTATGTAACACCAAAAAACTGAAAAGAATAAACTTTTCAGAAAGCAGTTGAGAGGACATGCAACACCAAAAAATAAAGAAAAAAAAATGGCATGGTGTCACTGTAACATTTAAAATTCGATATTATTATTTTGATAAACCGCGGAAAGAAAAACAAACCAGATAATACTATTCCAAACAAACTTATTTGTTGAAACAACAACAGCAATCAATGAAGAAAATCAGCAGAAAAATTGAATTGTTAAAATATGTTGTGAAACATACGATTCGGGAAATGGAGTATGAGTTCTACAACATAGTGAGAATCACATTTAAGTCCATGAAAAAGTGTTTCGTTCAAGGAATTAAGCGCAAATAAATAGGGAAATGTACTTTGTTGGGTGTAGAATTGGAGATATTTTTAGGGTGACAGACTAAAAATCACCAATTTGATCTTAGTGTTTAAAAACTAAAGCGAGAGTTAGCATTCAAGGGAAGGGAAGTGAGAGCTATGGAGTGGGAGTCAGTATCGCCTAGTCACGGATTTAGGGACTAAAACTAAGATTAATCAATGATTTTCTATAACACTGAATCAGGATAAAGAATTAAAATTGCTCCTATTTAGCCAAATACAAATCTAAATCATTTATCTCATTTCATTTCACCAAAAAACTCATTGTAGTGGTAAAGATGTTTTTCATATAAGAAAATTTCATCACATAAACATAGTTTAGTAGTTACTATTTTTAACTCTGCATTTAAGTTTTGCTAGTAGTTAATAATTTAGTTTTGTAGTATCTTACACATTCAAAATTAGTGATAGTAATTTCGTTTGATTTTTGTGAATTTCCTAATTAATTTATCATTTTCAAATTTAAATCTTCCCCGTGGGATCGATATGCTGGCTTGATTAGTATGAACTCTTGATATAAAGCTCATTCTCGAGTTCGTTCGATTGTGACAGGCAATGCGAAAGACAACAAACCAGACGTAGAGAAATCCCAACCCGTGCAGGGCGCATTAGCAATCCAAAATGCACCGTTTTAGATACTTCGATTTAAAGTCTACAAGAATACAATTTTACGAAACCGAATCGCTTTCATAGAGACTTTAACACTCTTTACCACTCTTTCATGCCAAAATGTATTCCCATTCAAATTAAATCGATTGAATCGCCAAGCAACACAGCAAGAACGTCCATTGATATTACAAACACACGGAAGACCACAGCTTAAGCATATAAAACTGTAAGGGGGGCAAAACAAAGGAAGCAAATGGCAAGCAGAGATGCAAACAATCGAAGCAATAAAAAAGGGCTAATTGACGTCAAAACTAAAGCCAGATAGGAAACCGTACCTGGACGATACGATCGCGGGGGGGAAGCAAGTTATCCCGCTCCGGTGGCGAATCTATCTCCATGCCGGCCATGACACGAAGCCAATTCGCGCAACTCCAGATATTCAATCTAGAGCTTCCTCGCCCCAGGTTTACAGAGACTATTAGATGTTGGAGAAGAAGCTGAAGAAGAAGCAGGGAAATGATGAATCCTTAAACTGCGCAACACCAAATAAGATTTTTGCGAATTCTAGAACCAAGCAGAGCTCCAAGCCTCCAACGTGATGCGAATTGAAGCGCCCCGCCGCTCATTGACACAGTTCTCTCGGGATTTGCAGACCGCAAGAACTGCAAAGCTTTGCGCATCCCGAACCCATCTTTTCAATCCGAAGCACGAAGAACAATCCGTCTGCTTTTACTTCCAGATTACAATAATAAAAATATAAAAAAAAAAAAGCGAACAGAAAATCTGTAGTTTTGGTTTGGGTATAAAACCCTAAGATTAAAATAGTTTCAATAAGCTGTTGCTATCATTGCGCCTTGCAAATGCGCAAATATACATTTGCAAGTAAAATATGCAAGATTTACATGCATGCCATCCAGTTCTTATATATTTACATGTCTGGCCGAATAAACATCAACTTTTACATTTATAATATCTTATTAGAATAATTACGTAAATATAGGGGTGTAAATTAGCTGAACTTGGATTTGTTGGTGTTTGGCTAGTTCAAATAGTTTTTTGTTCTAAATAAGCTTGTTGGAGGCATTGAAAGAGTTGCAGAGCTGGTGTAGGTGGCACAGATGCTTTGGGGGACTGAAATGCATGCTTATGGCCAAAATGACGACCCTAACCCATCTAGAAGAAAATTTCACGGAATTGACGTCAAAGTATGGGCCCCATCACACGAAGAATGAGATTTTGATGAGCTTTAAATCGGTCGATTTCAATGTTTTTAATTTATTTTGATTATATCTTAAGTTTGGAGTTGATTTGAATTTATTTCGAGGTAAAATTTGCAATCATCGTCAAAATTGTAGTAATCTTGGTTCAAACTATTGTAAGGCTAGATGAGTCCAAAAATGGAATACAACTTGGACACGAAGGGGCTCGTTTGAAAGTTTTCTACGATCCAGAAACATCAATGAATCTCTTTTCTAAAACAACACTTCCACGAAAAAAAATTATATTGGACTAATTCTCATGCATAAAGTTCACCAGGTAAAATTTCACCTAAAAAGTTATCTCGTAACCATCAAAACTCATTTCATCGAACAATATCAAGAAGCTCCCAACCACACTGTTAACTCTTTAAATACCCGATTTATGATCATCTGATCTCAATTTATTTTTTTCTTTTAATTTCTAACCCAAATTTTACATCAAAATTGATACTTTTATGATATAGATCTTTTAACGGGGGAAAATACTCTCCCTTAGAGAAGACTCTACTCTATATTGTATTAATGAAGAGTCATTTCAAGGAATTTCCTACCTTCCTCCTGCAATGAGACAGAAGTCCTTCCCTCTCTAACCAAACCCCAACTTTAGATTCTTAAATATTTATATTTTAAACATCTAAAGGCTACATTTTATATTAATATCCCCCAAATCTAACTTTTTTTAATTATGAGCTCGTTGCCTAATGAGCATGTTCCTCTATTTTTTCAATGGATCCAGATTTGTAAATAAATAGAATTGAGTGATATGTATGTAAATTTCTTATTTATAACTTAAATTTAAAAGATATAATATTCTTTAATTAGCGAGCCATGAATTGTTGCGAACTATATGTCAGTTGATGTGGTATGTATATAAATAAAATAGGAGAATGATTAATGAAGCGAAAAATAGGACGAAAGAAATCACACTAGAAAAGAGCACACAGATTTACGTGGTTCGGCAATTTGCCTATGTCCACGAAGTTGCAGAGGCTTTTATTAATTGAGGAATTTACACTAGTCAATCACCTCGACTTACAAGAGGAATCTCACACTCTCATTTCGTTGCTTTCTCTTATTCTTTCTCTGTTCTTCTCTCTCTACACCGAGATACACTGAAGAAACTCTACACCGAGATACACTGAAAAAAATAAACTTACAAGAGAAATAAATACAATTTCTCTTCTGTCACAAGCCAAAAAGAAGAAACCAATGGAGAACAATCTTCTTCTTCTTCTTTCTTCTCCTTTCACCGTAAGGAACTACTGCTTGCACTTCTCTTTCTTCTATCCTGAGAAAGCCCGAAGAAGAAAACCGTGACTTCTCTAACTGAAGGAAAGTCGTGTGATATCTTTTATCACGAGCAAGAGTGAGCGAATGGATGCTTTGCTTCACAACGGAAGAAGGAGGGAGCGGTTGGCGCCTACGATTCTTGAACGGGAGCGGGAGATGCGACTTTTCGAGAAGCTGAGAGAGGCACGACGATCAGGCGAAGCGAGGGCTTCGCTTCACGAAACAAGGGGCCGGGGCGGGAGCGAGATGGCGGGATCGGGCTCCAGCACAACATTAATTCGAATATTCCTGCAACTGAAATAATCATTTAGAATGATTTTATATTTAATTGTTTTTTAGCTCAACTTATGAATATAATCAATAGCTTAAATGAGCCTGTTCATTAACTAATTATTTTATTTTCTTTTCAGCATCCACCGACCTTCGTCGAACCACGAAAGACTCGAAATTAACAAAAAAAATACACAGACACTGCATTAATTAAAGCTAAATACTAACCATTATCTTTTACATGCATATCACAAATCTTATTTATTTACATATTTAAAATCTATTTTTTTATATTTACACCTATAACAATTTAGTGCCATAAAATCATAAATCTTTACGTGAATAAATGCATATTATTGATATTTTTTTGTATGTTAGAGTTTTATACATGTAAATATGATATTTTAAATGTTGGATATGTAAATAACTAAAGCTCGTGTTGTATGTAAATTTCAAATTAATTTATTATAGCTAATTTATCCGATTATGACCTTCATATATATATATACC